GCCCGACCACGCCGACCTACTTTTTTGTTCGCCCTTTTCCAACGTTATCATTATTCTTTTATGCAACCATACCTTCACACATTTTCACTACGGCTGGCACGGTTCTTGGGCTCGGATGGTTGATGCGGTGGCGATTAGACCTTGACATTGACGATGACTCCCCTTCTATAAAATAAACTTCCGGTAGTAATGGCTCTTTCCGACGACACCTCAAACGAACTCTCTGTGTATTACTTGTCTCTTCTCTCTGTGTTTGGGCTTTTCTACTTCGTTCCTCTTTTCTCTCTAGCAGCAATTACCATCATCCCCCCCACCCATCCAAGCAATACAATTTTTTCTCTCTAACTCTCATCGTTCTACACATACGCAATACATACAATTAGCACGCATCAGTCTTTTTTCTCTTGTACGTACTACGGTACTTGGAGTTTTGTCGGTTTGTTCTATGGTACCTTACTTCAGATGAAGAATATAGAACGTTTTGTGAACCGAAAGACCGACTGGGATGAGGTTGATCTGAACTTGCAAGATTGTCGAATACAGTACTGGTTCCGTTCAATTCTAGCAGCGTGCTGTTTATTGTTGCTCTTCTTGGCCACGCTCTAAACCCGCGCTGGTAGTCCTCTGTGCATGTGAGTAGCCTGAGGTGGGTTACGGTGCTTTCGTTGCGCACAAAGTAAGGAGAACTACTGGAACAGAAGCGAATGCATCTCGGGATAAGTGGTGGTCCTGAAGATGTCGACGGGCACATGGTGTAGGGGTTATCACGTTCGCTTTGCATATCGTCCATCTCGATGAGGTGTGCGAAAGGTCTCCGGTTCAATTCCGGATGTGTCCAAAATGCCAGTTTTTTTCTCCCTGTTATCGGCGAACTCAATCATCCAACCGGTGCGGAAGTGCAGTCCATTCGATGGGATTATTAGGATATAAGTATGTAGAACAGCACTTACAATAAATGACGATACTAAGAAGGATTTTTAAATTGTATGTATTATGAATTATCCGTGAAGTAAGACTCTGGAACCCACCCAACTACATGAACACGATTGAAAACGACCCCCAAAAGTCCCCTGTGTCGACCGTAGCGAGTCGTAAATGAGCATGACCGGGCTCGACACCACTCCTTGAGCACGATACCAGGCCTTTCAACCAAGGATCACCGGTACCGTCGTCCGACTCTTTGACCGTTGGATCGCGTCCGTTCATGATCCGGTCGTGTTTGCCTCCTTTCCCTCTTCCATTCAAGAGATCGGTCAAAGAGCACCGATTGCGCGGTTCAGATTGTAACATGCGCCGAAGAGCGGGCCTGGTCTCGTGTGGCAGGAGGTATAAAGCTGATTCGACATCGTCGGAGGCTTCAGAGCCTAGGGGCCTGGTGAGCCAACGTACAATCGCAGAGGTTCCGAAGCTAGACTCCTTCCTCACATCATAAGGACGTTTCGGAAGCCTGGGGGGACGTCGCAGCATGAGACATACGAACATGACCCCGACACTCCATATATCGGCTTTACGAGGGTCCTCATCGACATCAGCCCCAACAGCGCCCTTCCTTCTAGAACGATGGTAGGACGTGGTAGATGCGCCGAGGTCGATTATTTTAACCACATTAGTCCGGTTCATCAGGCAATTCTCCAGTCCAAGGTCCCCGTGGGTGAGGCCGCGTGAATGTAAATAGTCCACGCCTTCACATATCTGACGAAATATGCAGTAAGTCTCCGCACGGCTCATTTTTCCCGTCATGGCTAGCGCGTATAGCGTGTAGGGGGCATACTCGATGATCTGGAAGGATGGGAATCGGGCTGATGAGCCTGCCGAACCGGGGACTTTCAGAATGAGAGTGCTTACCTCGTAATACCGACCCTTCTCTTTGACGAGATCGAAGGTCTTGACGATATTAGGATGGTCCAATCCTTTCCAAACGCGATAGCCGGCGTTGACCTTCTCCCTGTGTTTGTTCTTTGATTGCCGTGTATGTTTTCGATGAACTTCTTTGACGGCATGTATGTTTCCGTCGTGCTTCGATGGGTCCTGAATTACACGAATCACACCGCATGGTCCCGACACGATGATACGACCGCGTCGGCCATACTTCTCAAAAAGAGATGACTGAGTAGCCTCCAAAGCGTCGCGTAGATGCACCGGAGAAGCAGCTTCCGGTAGATGAGGGTGAGGGACACCGATCTGTTCCTCGTTGGAGCGTAACGAGAAATCCTCTGGTGGAATCGACTTGGATTGTTTATTGGGAACAGTGATGGGATTGTCAGAAAAATGGGGCAGGGGTGGGGTGGGATACTCCGGAGGTACTGGTGAGTACTGAGGAGGGTCAGATGTAGGCTCCGACGGGGGTGAATAGTGAGGGAGAGGTTCTTGGGGAGATTGGTACAAGGAAGGGAGGTGGTGAGGATCGCAGTCGCAGGATGGAGAAGAAACATATGCAGGAATAGGCACGAAGAGGGTTGTCCTAGGCGAATCGGAATCATCGGCCCTATCAACGTAGACATTGTGGGTGTGCTGCGAGTGGTTGTTGAAGTTGTTGGTGACGTTGCCAGCGACGTTAGAGATATTTGGACTGCCGTCGATAGTAACATGCCTAGCGTTCGGTAGGAACTGAATCCACTGCTGAGTGGTATCTGTGACGGCCGGCCGTATCCCCTCAGTCCCCTGGCTTCGAAGGTCGCCTGATGCTCCACTGGTCGAACCTATCCGCGAGTTTACCGTCCTTCCGTCCCCCTCGTGACGAACCGCCTCCGTGGCTTGGTGCGCCGTAGTTGAATCATCGCCTCGGCTGTCAATATTCCCGTCGTTGGGCCTCTCATTGGGCTCGCTCGCCGACCCCGACGGATTTGATTGCTTCGGGGCGTCGCACAACTTCCAATCCGAGTGACACGTCGGAACAGTCATTTCCTTCGAGACATTCTCGTCCTTGGGAGTCGTCGACTCTAAGCCATCAGTACCGATCTCGACGTAGCTGGAGTGACGGCCCAGAGACAGAGAGCTAGTAGGTGTGTAACCCTTCAGTACAATGCCATTCGCCATAGTAGGTAGGGGGCCTCACCTATTGCAACTACTCTGAGATTCTTGTGCGACGACCGTTCCATTTTCCTTGGGTTGAACCTCTCTGGGAGTTTGGCTGGCGGAAATGAACCGAGGGTCGGTGGCGGCAACACCTAGATGTGATTCACTTTCTGTACCGTCCGGGTCTTTACGGTGTCCACGCCCTCTGGAGCATCTGCCAAAACCTAATATGTGTAGAAACACGGCATTCCTGGCATGCACCATCCTTTCCCTTCTTTTAGAGGCGAGGAGATGCATGCGTGGAGGTACCCTTGTGGAAACAGGCAACACCATGATCCTGGTGGCGAAACTCGCCTCGAAGGCTTATTTCTGAAGAGAGTGGTACAAGATAAGGCCAGATATCAACATTTATGCACCCTTGGGCTGTTGTGCATACCCGTAAACCGGTTTCTAACTCGACTCCGCAGTTGACGGGGGAAATCGACTATTTGAATTGTGCAAGTTTAGTTCAGAATAGAGAGAAGGGTGGTGCAATATTCTGGTGCCACTATTTGTGAAGCTCGACAGGATCTGCGATAATCAATGAATGTTATACTGTAACTCTCAACGATCCGATGTCCACGCTCTTGGGCCAAGAGACGTCGCGGAAGGAACTTGGGGGTTGAACGGTTGAGAGAATTATAGCAGGCTGTAACAGAGATGCATCACTCGAAGCCAAGTACGGATACCTACCTTCAGGAGCAATATCTCAGAGACCATGGCGTGTCGACAGCGGTGGTTGAGAGCTTAGATGGACAAAGGCCCACGTGGGAATAAGTTACCTCAAGGGTTCAAAGAAAACGATGCTCGCGACCATCTCTTGACCACTACTAAATCGAGCATCGTCTGGCATCGGCCGTTAATGTTACACCCCACCCACTTTATTTGCTGTATGTATATGAGACTACCTCCACCCGACTTCCAGCATGACACCATGATATCTTTCGGCAGTGGGATGGGATAACAATCAAAAAGGACGTGCCGCCGAAGTCGGATCTCCTTCGAGGGTAAACTTAAAACACACTAGTTTCCTGCAAGTGAGTCTGCTTTGCCTTGACACGCTTTACAACCACTCATTAGCTAGTTTCAATTCAGTTAACTCGGAAGATAAGGTTCCCCGACCATGATAGTGTGAACCTTGTTGAACGAAGTTGAATGTTCAACATTTTACCACAGCAGCCAACCAGAACCTCTCAGAGATCGTGTCGGCCTCCTACACAACTTCGACGTGTGCAAACGTGGACGATACTTGGATCTGAGTCGCAGTACAGCGATCCGAGCCCCCGTTGAACCCTACTCCCAAGGCCACAAAGCTATTATGTATTCATACATGACGAAAAGACACGTTGGATGCAATGCGTGCATTACTTATATGCCTAGCCCAACTATCCCTTCAAGAACCGCCCCGTCAGGAGAAACCATTCATCCTCATCTCGTTTGAATTGGAACTATGACACTAGCCATGTCCCAGAACTCGGAACAACCTGTTGCAGTATATTGCGGTTCATCTACAGGAAATCATATTGCATATGTGGGGGCAGCAGAATGTAAGCTCGCATCTTTCTCGTTGATTCTGTCACTGACCAGGCGTATTTGACCTAATTGTAGCGCTCGGGAAAGCTTTAGCCAAAGCCCAGCGACCATTAGTCTACGGTGGAGGCACCCAGGGCCTCATGGGTGCCGTGTCTCGATCTGTGCTCGCAGAAGGAGGGAAAGTGACCGGTATCACTCTTCGCCCTTTCATGGAGAATGGTGGGGAGGGCGAGAAAGCGCCTGAGAAAGCAATACATCCAGTACGCAATTATGAGATATCACAGAGGGAGGTGCGTACACAAGCAACGTATACACTGCATGACCGTGTGTCAACTTCGTGGTTCTATTATAGGCAGAGATAGAGACAGTGAAGAGGTTTACTTCTAGTGCCCTTACCGTTGCTGATATTTTGGTTTCATTCCAGATTGTCGTCGACAGTTTGCATGCTCGGAAGCTCTTGATGTCCACAAGATCATGTGGTTTTGTGACTCTTCCAGGAGGATTCGGGACCTATGATGAGGTGTGTGCTTCGCGAGGCTCTTCTATTCTCTGTCGCTCGACCAATCCTCCCCGTCCCTTCATGACTAGGTTTTCGAAGCAACGACTTGGACACAAATCGGGATTCAAACCAAACGTTCGTTCATATACCAGCACTTCCCTCACTTGCTGACGGTGACTTCGCAGCGATTATCGTTCTTAACGTTTTGGGCTTTTACGGCCCCCTGAAGCAACAAATCAAAGCGGCAATAGAAGCTGGTTTTGTCGAGTCTCATAACGAATCACTGGTCGTATTCGTTGACGGTCCGGAAGACATGGATCAACACGAGACGTTTGATTGGGGGCTTGCTGCTCTGGCAGCGTTGGATAGATGGCACGAGAAGAGATGTTGTTTGCCCAGACCTACTTACAACTGGAGTTTGTGTGAAAGGGAGAAAGGCCATCCCGTCTCCGGCTACTGATACTCATTGTAAACGTACCGCGTACTTTCACCATCCATACAAACGTCGGGCCCGGATTTAAATACCGAGCTCCTTTGCTTCAGGCATGATCATCATGTAGTCATCTCAACCCAGCACGAGTCATGATATAGATATCCAATTCTTCCTTTCCAATTTTATATCCAAGTGAACCTCCATAGACCTCATTCGCCATCTAAACTTCTTCAATGACTCGCAGTACCAACTCAGTAACAGTATACTGTGGTTCATCGACTGGGACTGAACCAGCCTACCTTAAAGCGGCAACTTGTGA